GCATCCCAAAACCAGTCCAGCTCGTCCCTGCCTCCCTAACCTGTTCTTCCTCCCACCTATCCCCTCCTCCCACCTCAAGCCGCACCTCCATCTCCTACCGACCAACCTCATCCCGCCCCCTTGACCTGTCCGTCCTCCCTGGACTGACCTATCCCCTTCCTAACTCCCTACCTACACTCACCTTTCCTGGCCCCATCCCCGCCTCTTCGACCTGTTTGTTTCTTCTCCACCTATCCTCTCCTCTATCCCTCTTCTATCCGCCTCCCACTCTCTCCCTATTTATTTCAAAACCCCCTTCCCCTCCCCCTTTTCTGATGAAGGGTCTAGGCCCGAAACGTCAGCCTCTCTGCTCCTATGATGCTGCTTGGCCTGCTGTGTTCATCCAGCCCTGCACCTTGTTGTCTCGGATTCTCCAGCATCTGCAGTTCCTACTATCTCTGTTAAGAACAAGTCAGCCAGGTTTCTTCACTCAACAACAAACAATTGCTTTGATACCAATGTTAAACATGTTCAAACAAAAAATTACAGACTATTGACAAGCATTTTAGATTTTACAAATATTCCTGTTTAAAAAATACACACGTCCAAGTCTGAGGAGAAACAAAAAGGAAAAATTCTGCGGTGTTAACTTTAAAGTACTTTTTCCAAGTAATAGTTAAGCTCATTAAGACATTATAGATCATAAATTGTCCCAAATGTTTTCTGATCCCAAAGTTATTCTACATACGCAACCTGCAGGCACTGGTGTGTCTTTCTGGAACGGTTGTACTCACTGAATTGTCTTTGTTCAGATGGTGTGGGTAGATTCCAACCAATCCTTTCCAGTCATCCTCCAAAGTGGTAAAGGTGACTTTTGGCAGATTGACAGCTGACACACTTTTATGAGATGAGATGCAAAGAAAGAAGAAGGAGCAATAGGCTGTTGATCTTCACACAGGTCAAATTGCTTCTGACTGAGTTCAAAAATAGAATAGTCTGATTCCACTCATAAACTGGGCCATGTCACCTCTCCCTGAAATTCAAGACATCTGTATAAGCTCTCTGCTCCAGCAGGTGCAACATAATTGCTGTTGTACACAGTACCTTTCCTTAACCAAGTGTTCTTTGTTCAAAATATAAATATATATGAGTCCACAGTAACACCTATAAAAGATAATATTTGGATCACATCTCTGGCATTCAATTTATATCCCAGAAGCAACACCCTCTCTCTCTCTCTATGAGTGTTTGACTCACAGGCAGTACCCTCTGCAATGGGTTACGGACCCATGTTTAGTGCCGTCTGCACTAGTTAGTTGACCCAGAGACTATATCCTTTGCACCGGGTGACTGACCCAGAGACAGTGCCCTCTGCACTGGGTGATTGACCCAGAGACAGTGCCCGTTGCACTGGGAGACTGACCCACAGACAGTGCCCTCTGCACTGGGTCATTGACCTAGAGGCAGTTCCTTCTGCACTGGGTGACTGACCCAGAGACAGTGCCCTCTGCACTGGGTGACTGATCCAGAGGTGGCGCTGTCTCTCCCCCTCTCAGTGAGTGGATGAGAAGGTGGAGCATGCGCAGTGCTCACTGACGCTCCGCTCGGTACCGGGGCGGCAGACGTGTTTAGGCTTCATCCGTTGCTTTAACTGCTCGGTTCCACCCGCTTTGATCCCTCCGTCCCTGTTAACCCGTAATCGGCTGTCGAGATGTACGATCCGGACGACGGTGAGGGTGAGTGTTAGCTTTCCATGTTTTTTTTTTAAATTCGTACCTTTTGCGGAGTTTAAAATGGCGGATGTTGAGGTGGATTGGCGCCGGCTCTGGGAGCCCGGCCTAAGGCCTCGGCCTGCCCTTCCAGCCCAGGTGCTGAGTTCAGCCCTGGTTTTTCAGTCGGGGCCTTTGGGAGGAGACGCAAACCGCCAGCCGTCTTCCAGTCACTGAGCTGGTATGTGTCCTGATCCAGAGAGGCTTTATTGACTTTAAGCTCCCAGGGATTAGAGGGAAGCTGCTGACATGCACCAATTTGCGCACGAAGGTCTATAAACGTCACTTATAGGGAACATGGTCAGCCGCGGGCTTGTATCTAGTTCAATTTAAAGAGACATTTTTAAGCCCATCGTTTAGGTTGACACTCCAGGGCAGCTCACAGGGAATGCTGAATTGTCAGGAGGTGCTGTCTTTCAGATGATGGTGTGCTTGCCCCCTCAAAATAAATTTTGCCCCCATAAAGTACCCCATTGTACCACAGAATTAGGGGCAGGGGAGCTCTGACCTTCAACCAACTTCATTGCGGCTGTTATCATTATTGTCTGCTATGATCTGTACGTTATAACAGTGATGGCTCTTTTAAAGGTCTTCGTGTGTGGTATTTGTTATGTTTGTGTTTTTGTTCTCTGCCACTGAAGCAGTTAATTCAGCACATCTGTTGTGTTCTCTTCCACCTTTCAGGCTACCAATAAGGCTAATCATACTTTCATTGGTCCCTTGTTCTGAGTATTGTTGTGGCTCTTACACTTGATATAGTCCCTATCTTTGTTTTCTCAACGTTAAGGAAGAAAGTTTTTTTTAATGTTTGTGGCACCCAACTGGTTTAATTGTTAATGCCAGATTTGACTGGTCCACATCAAGCAGTATTAAGCCAAAACACTCAAGGGCAAGCCTGAGTGTTAAATATTCCTGGGTACTATGCTTAGAAGAGAGAGGAAAGGAGGATTGATGATATTATTGGTTAAGGAGTGCAATGCAGTGTTGGAGAAAGAGGAGGTCCCAGAGGATTCAAGGACAGAATCTGGTTAGAGCTAAGGAACAAAAAAGGATGCAAGTACATTGCTTGGTATAGCCCATAACCACCAACTCATGGAAAGGATAAACAAATCTACAGGAAAATTACAGCGAAATTGCAACACTACTGTTGTAATTGGGGATTTCCACTGCCAAAATGTAGACTGCGACAGTGGTAGTGTTAAGGGTAGAGAAGGGCAAATGTTCCTCAATTGTAATCTGGAAAGATTTCCTGTAGCAGTATATATTCAGTGCAACCAGAAAGTGCATTGCTGAACATCCACAACTTCCAGGCTCCTCTGCTGGCTAACATTGTAAGCAATTCCCTGTCCTTGAGTACGCTATATTAAATGTTTAGTCCTCATCCTCAGTAGAAAAAAACAATTTCACTGCCACTGTCCTCGCAAACTACTGATCTGTCTGCAGTCTCCTTTTCCACTCTAGAATGTTTGAACATGTTATCATTTCCGAAATCCAAGAATTGCTATTGCTGTCTTATACTTGTGACCTACCTGACATTCTTC